CCCCCACCCCCGCCCGCCATCTGACTGGGAGTTCCTCTGGGGGTGGGGACAGGACAGCAGCCGGCTCCCAGCTGGGGCCCGGCACCGGATGAGGTCCAGGAAAGAGCATACCAGAGGCTGGTGTCCAGAGCAGGTCCTCAGAGAGGGTTTGTCAGGTGGATGGGGAGTAGCTGGGTGGCTGCTGGGGCCTCAGCCCTCGGATGTCTGGGGAGCGGAGGCAGACGTGGGGTGTGGTAATATCTCACCCCTTGTTCTCAGGCGCCTTTGGGGGCAAACTGAAGGGAGGGAGCCAGTTCCAGGGACTGAACGAATGTCGGAACCACAGGCCACAGGTCACTTCCTACCCTGCCCCAACCAGGGCCACCAGCCCCCCTCCTTCAAGTGCCTGCCTCGGCCGCGTTTCCTGTGTGACCCCTGAGCAAATCACTTCCCTTCTCTGTGCTGTTTCCCCGTTGGTAAAATGGAGGTGAGAACAGAATGCAACCTCCAGGTAAGCGACGCTGCCTGCTGCTGGCCTGTCTCTGGCACTTGCAGGGCGCCCAGACTCCCCCAGTCCCTTTGGGCCACATCTGCCCCTTGGTCTGCCCCCTGTTGCCTTGTGCCCCTGTCACCACTGAAGAATAGGAGAGGGATGAGAGAAGCTTCCAGAAAAGCAAGTCGGCTTCCCCCCTTCCTCAGCAAGTGCCAGAAACAGACCTCCCCAGAGCCAAGGAAAAGGGGGTACAGATCCCCAAATATAACCACCTGTGCAGAGACAGGGCGCCATCATCTCACCTCCCTCCCCTGGGCAGGTGGTACCCCAGTTCACACCCTGAGGGACCGAGTGTTGGACCCTCTGGGGCCCCAAAGAGCCTGTGTGGTGGTCATTTGCCAGGGATGCTGGGATAGTCAGGCAGGGCCTCCTCTGAAGCCCCCACCTGCAGGGAGTCTCCCCTCAGGCCCAGAGGGTCCCCCCACACCAGACAGACTCACAGTGACACAGTCACAAAGCCCCTTCTCAGAGACACGGAGACCACCCCACACAGAATCAGTGACGGGGACACAAAGCCCTCTCAGATGCCAGAGCACACCCCCCCCCAAGACAAACACACAGAGAGAGACAGCCCCCACAACACCACACAGCCAGGCTGCGAGCCCACAGCCTCGCCCCCTCCTGAGATGCGGTGGCGCCTGAATGGATGACCCAGCTGTGGGGACCAGCCGGACTTCCGGTGTGAGCCTGCCCATGGGGGCGACACCCAAGATGGGGGTGACTGTAGCTTAAGAGGGACTGTGACTGAACTGGGGAACCAAGGAACTAATCCCCCACCGACTGTCACCAGCTCATCTCGTCCCCCTCGGTGGCAGAAGTCCAGGCCAATTCCTGGCAACACCAGGTGGGCGTCCTAGGACAGGTCCTGCAGGGCCGGGCTGGACGGAGCCGGTTCCCGCCCTTCTGAGCCAGGCCGCATGCCCACACCTCTGCCTTCCTCCCCCCACATCTGTGCTCATGCTGTGCCCTCCACACGGGCCACCATTCTTGCCAGACCTTTGGCTCTTCGATGTCATTAGGATAAACAACTGTCAGGACCTGGAGCTGAGTGGCCGTGAAGAGTGGGTGTCATGGGTGCTCAGCCAGCATCCTCGATGATCCATGCTGCCCCCCAGGCCTGGGCCAGCCACAGTGGCCTCTCTGGAAATATCCAGCCAGCACCCAACAGGCCCCGGACGACTGGGTCCAGAGCCGGGTCAGGGGCACAGCCAGACCCCACCCCACTGCCTGCTGCAAACCAGCTGCCACCAGCCCACACCTTGAGTGACCACATCCTGCTCCCATCATCCGTGCCAGGAGTCCTCCCCCAGCCCTGTTCCCATGTGGCCAGAGCCCCAAGGCCAGTGCGCTGTTCCCCATCCACACCTTTACCCAGGCTATGCCTTCCTCTCCTGCTGCCACCGTGGCCACCTCAGTTGCAGGGACACTGCAGCCATGAGGGCTGGGCTGAGGTCAGCCCTCCAGACAGAAGGGGAAGCCTGACTCTGAGAGGCCACGCCATGGGCCCAGGCTCCTGAGCAGGGAGGGGAGCACCCAGCATCAAACCTGCTCTCCCCAGGCTCTGTGGATCCCACACCCAGGAAAGCAGATGGGCCCTCAGGAGTCTGTGGGGATCACGGTGGGTGTCATAGGGCCAGGGGTCCCAGAGCTGGGAGGTTGGACCTGAACGGGTACCCACCTCCCAGCCCTGCTACATAGCCAGACCAGACTGCAGCCTGGCTGGGCCCCAGTCTGCTCGCCTGCGAGGGTGGAAAATGTTGTGGTTAAAAAACAACAAATAACCCCTGTCACTGGCCTCAGTGGTGGTGGTGGGGGCGGTGCTGGAGGGGAACGGGGCTCGTCACCACCAAGATCCCCTACAGCCCTGGGATGGTGGCCACCGCCTGCCTTCGAAGAATGATGATTCAGAAGAAGAGGTGACAGTGAGGGCCTCGGGCCTGAGGGGCTGTGGGACAGATGCCAGGAAGGCTGAGCTGGCAGAGCCTGGGGCTGAGCTGACAAGCGAGGAGGGCGAGAGCCAGGAGTCCAGAAGCTGACCAGGTCAGTGTTGCGGTCACCACACCGACACGGCACCTTGCCAAGGTCAGCCTGGCATGGCCTGTTGCCATCCAAAGCCTGCATTTAGTGAGTACTTACTATGTGACATGCCCTGACACACAGTCTCTCATTGACATAAAAAAACAAACAGGAAATCACACCAGCCCAAAGAAGGAAAACCAGTTGGTTTAAATAATTAAAAGTGAAAAATAAAACCTAAGTAATTATCAGATCCCAGGCCTTTCTAAGCAGAAAAAGCAAAGAAGGAAACCACCAAGGAAAAGATCACTGTATGTAACTGTCAGACTTCAGAGCCTCCGTAAGCCAAGACTCAGGATCAAAACTGAAAAGTCAGATGGCAAACTGGGGAGACGTGCTACACGACAGAGACTGATGTCACGTACGAGTTCCTGCCAGCCAACTAGAGAAAGGCGGCAGGGTAAATGGCCTGCAAACCACACAAAAATGCATACAACCAAGAAACAGAAGAAAAACAGTCAAAATCTGTAGGGACAAAAATATCTGCAGGGACAGCAAGTGGAGTAGTGGTTGCCAGGGGCTGGGGGTGGGGACGGGAAGTAGGAATGACTGCTAACAGGACAGGTTTCTCTGGGGGATGGAAACGTTGCCCACGTACTAAAAACCCATGAGCTGCACTTTGCCATAGTAGGTTTTATGTTATGTGAGTTACATCTCATCTCTCATTCCACTCATAATCAGAAAGGACAAGATAACCACTTTTCACCTGGAAGTTGGCAAAGGTTTTCAACAGATGGACACCCAGTGCTGGCCCCGCTGGTGATGAGAAGGTATGTGGGTATAAGCTTTCTGGAAAGCTGTTTGAAGAGACGTGGCGAGCATTCGAGATGGCCAGCAGGCACATGAAGAGATGCTCCACATCATTAGCCACCAGAAAGCGACAACTGCTGGGATGGGGGAAGGAAAAGATGGACAATAACAAGTGTTGGTGAGAAGATGGAGAAATGGGAGCCCTCTCTCCATGCTGGCGGGAGGACTAAACGGCTCAGCGCTTTGAAAACCCGTTTGGTGAGTTCTCCAGAGTTCGCATATAACCAGCAACTCCACTCTGGAGATACATACCCCAGAGAAACAAAGCACATGTCCACACAGAAACTTACACAGGCCTCATTTCATTGAAATGCACAGATGTTGCGTTTTCTTACACCCCAAAGCGAGGAGACCCTCCTCCAGCAAAAAGCCGGTGGCAGCAGATGAGTAGATTAAAAAACTGTGGTACATCTGCACAATGGAATACTATGCTCTGTAAAAAAGAAGGAATTCTTACCATTTGCAACAGCATGGATGGACCTAGAGAGCATTATGCTAAGCAAAATAAGTCAGAGAAAGGTAAATATCACATGATCTCACTTATTTGTGGAATGTAATGAACAACATAAACTGATGAACAAAAACAGATCCAGAGACAGAGAAGCATCAATTGGACCCTCAAACCTCAGAAGGTAAGGGAGGGTGGGAGTAAGGGGGAGAGATCAACCAAAGGACTTGTATGCATGCATATAGGCCTAACCAATGGACACAGAGACCAGGGGGGTGAGGGCAAGGAGGTGGTGGGGGTGGCAATGGAGGGAGAAGGACACATATGTAATACCTTAATCAATAAAGAGAAAAAAAATCCAAAAAATAAATTTTCAAGATTAAAAAAAAAAAAAAAGCCCGTGGCTTGGCTCGCTTGGTCCAGAAGGGAACCTGCAGTACCCCAAGCTCTGCCTGTCCACATGTCCATGCAGCGCTCCTCATAACAGTCAAGTGTCCACCTAACATCTATCCAGGGACAAATGGATAAATGAAATGTGAGCCTTGGAAACATTACAAAGAAGGCATTCACAGAAGATCACTTATTGTCCGATCCCCTTTACGTGGAAAGAACAGATTAGGCAAATCCAGAGACAGAAAGGTTAGTGGGTGCCTGGGGCTGGGGGTAGGGTACACGGTTCTTTTTGAGATGATGAAAATGTTCTAAAATTAGAACACAGTGATAGTTGCACAACTCTGCAGATATACTAAAAACCGCTGCACACTCTGAACCAGTTAAGTCTATGGTACGTAAATAGTATCTCAGTGAAACTTAGAGAGCGAGTGAGCAAGTATGCCAGCAACAGAGGCCTCCTGAGGCCTCCCAGCCAGCACTTCCCCTTCTAGGAACTCAGCCTAAGGAAACAATCAGAGATGGACCCCACGATTTAAGTACAAGATGTTCATCATGGGTTATCTATTTGATCAGAAAAGTTAGAAATGATTGAAATAGGAGTCCAGATAATAACAGATAAGTGTATCATGGCCTAACTGTATAAATGAAATACTCTGCAACCAGCATTTTTTAAAAAGACATTCTTGAAAAATATTTGAGAAAACAGAAAAATTATCAAAACGTGAGAAAAAGCAGGTAGATAAATGTCAGCCCCCCCAGGACTGGGGTTTCTGTCCAGAAGTTCCCGCCAGCACTTCCAGCACCCACACAGGGCCTGGCACAGAGGCCGAAGGAACTGCAGTGTGGGGGGCAAGTTAACGTAACAGAAGGAAAAAAAGATTATGAAGACATCTACCCAAAGGGAAACGCGCGTCTCTCTGGGTAGCAGGGTTGTGGGTGGTGTTTCACTTACTTTTCTATAATTTCTTCCATGAGCTTTATTAATTGAAAAAACAAAACCAAAAATATTAGGAACTCAAACTTGGAAGCCTGGGCATGTTAGATTCCACGATTACATGGAGATCTGAGATGAGACAAAGTAGGGCCCCTAGTTCCAGAAGGTTCCCCTCTTTGCCGCTGCTAGGACACCCCTCCTCGTCGCAGGCGGATTCAGGTTCAGCCTGTGATGGGAGGATCCAGGCACCAGCCACAGTGAGGGGGACCCAGAGTCCCTCCATGTGCACCGTCACCACTGGTTCCGGAGGCTGAGGTCCACGCCTGAGGAGCACAGTGGCCTCCTCCGCGGCTCTGAGGGACACAGGAAAAAGGGGTGTGGGGCCCCAAAAAGGAAGCTGAGGCGGCCTCTCCTGCCCTGGGGGAGGAAGCTCCCCCCACCAGTGAGGGCTGGCCGCTCAGAAGGCAGAGATCTCTCTTTGCATTCTGGTTTCCTTTCCATTCACAAAGAAGTGGGTGGGGGATTTCCAGCGGGTGCCCAGGCCAGGCTACTGTGAGGCCAGCCAGGTGGCTGCCCAGCCCGGGGAGGGTGGCTGGGACCCAGCTCTGGTCTGGACGCTTCCTAAATAGGGGGACACCCCGTGCCAGGCCTCCCTGAGCCTGTTCTGGACTCCATCACCCAGCAACACAAGCACTGACATCCCACTTTCCAGATTGGGAAACTGAGACTCAGAGAGGCCAAGGTGTCAGCTAAACCTCTCCCTGGCCACCAGGTCACAGCCCAGACGCCACAGTGATGGTCTCCTCCCAACACCCAGTCTCCAAACAAACAAAAACAGATCAACCTCCAAGAAGCTGGCGGCAGCAGCAGGCCCATGAGCAAGAGGGACGGGGCACAGCCCCAGAGGCGCCCGGGATGATGATAAATGAAGACTGTCCCCTGCCCTCCCCTGTGGAAGCGGGGCCCTTTCTCGTCTCTGGATTCATAGAATTTGAGCTGAAAGGAAGCATGCGATACAATCTGTCCGCGGTTTCAGCGTGGTCAGGGGTTTCTTCTAAGCAGCAAAGCAGTTTTCTTACACGGAACCCCAATAAGGGGCAGGTGGGGTGGCTGTGTATGCGGTTGGGGAGCCCACGGGAGTCCTGCCCACCAGCACCCCTTCTTCCCTCCCCCAAGGAGGCCCAGGTTAAGCCCCCTAGTCATCCATTTCACAATTTCGAGAGGGGCAGTGGCCCACGTGGGCCCCAGGGCAGAGCAAGGCCCTCATTGTCACCCTGGGAGCCTTCTGCCCCGGGGCCTCCCAGGAGAGGTGGGGCTGGGGACCGCTGGCTCTAGAGCTCCAGTCTCCCCACTGGGCGTCTCCCCTCTGGTCTCTGAAACACAAGAGCCAGGGGACTGCAGCTGGCACGTGGGTGGCTCTTTGCCTGCTTCGGGGCCTAAACACAAGCCCCTGGCCTTGCTGGGCTCTGCCGCTCCCCTGCTCTGTGGCCATGAACAAGTCTCTACTTCTCTGGGCCTCAGCTTCCTGATCCGTCAGATTCCCCATCGCACAGGGTTTGTGGTGATTCCATGGCTGTCAATGTGGTGCCTGTCGCGTCAAAAATAACAAGGAGCGCAGCTGAGCGTGGCTGTGCGGCGTGTGCTGGGGACGGCACCAGGTGAGGACGCAGCCCGGCGACCCTCAGTGTGATGTGGGGCACGGAGAGTGAGGGCGCAGCTTTCCCACCCGGGGCAGAGCAAGCAGGAGCCAGGCCTGCGGGGGCCCAGGCAGCTGCCCCTCCCGCGGTGGTGGCTTCCTGCCCGCCCCCCTTCCTCTTCGCACTCCTGCCTCGAGGAAACCGCCAGGCCCCGGACTGACGTCCCTTTCTTTGTGCTTCCTCTTTCCCACACTCGGGGACTGGGCTTAGGCTCGGCCCAGGGTCCACACCTCGGGGCCTCTGCCTCAATTCCTTGCCGGTGAAGTAGGTGCGATGGCAGTGCCAGCCTGAAGGGCACAGGAGCATGAGGCGGCTGACTCAGTACGGCCCTCACCCTGCGGAGTGCTGGGTGCTTGGGAGATGGCAGCCCATGCACCACCCAGGCTTTCTTTCATAAGCACCTACTGCCCACATACCCCCCCCCCCCCCCACCCCCCCGCCCCTCGCCCCCACAACCCCAGGCTTTCTTTCATAAGCACCTACTGCCCACATCCCCCCCCCCCCGACTGCCTGCTCCTGGGCCGACCACAAGCACAGGCAGGGAGCTGAGGGGTCCAGGGTCGCTCTTGTCACAAACCCAGTCCCCCAGGCTATCTCCTGGCTGAACCATGTGCTCTGTGAAGGTAGGGCCAGGTGCCCCAGGAGTGTTCAGCGCCAGTACAGGGCCCCAGGCTGTTCCTCACTCACCCAGGCAGCACTTAGTGTGTCTGCAGCCGCCCCCACACGACCACAACCCCGAAGGCAGGCACTGTGGCCATTCCCGTTTTACAGAGGAGGCAAACTGAAGCCAGCAAGGCCAAGTCACTTGTCCAAAGGCACCCAGCTCAGAAAGAGCAGAGCGGGAAGGGCTCTGACCTCACTGCCTGGCCCGCTCGTGCCCACTTCTTTGTGGAGGACTCAGGGCTGTGAGCTGAGTCCCTTGAGGTGCCCCCAACTCCTTCCTCTACTGCTTCTCCGGGCTGGGCAGCGAAGACCAAGGGCAGGATGCACGGGGTGAGGAGGGATCTGGCCACCCCTCTGGGCCTCAGTGTCCCCATATGTAAAACAGTGGCTCTGGACAAGATGGCATGGGGAGCCTTTCCTGGTCAGAACACAAAACAGATGCCCTTTCCTAGATGGGGCCACTGGGTAGCGACCACCACCAACAGTGACTCCTCTGAAGACACGCTGGGCGCCAGGTACAGCCCAACTGTCTGGGTTCCAATCCCATCTGGAGAGCTGAGTGACCTTGGGCAAGTCACCTACCCTCTCTGGGCACCAGGTGCCCCCTCTGTGGAGCAGAGTCATCACAGAGGCTCCCTCCCGGGGCTGCGGTGAGAGCTAAATGGAGCAGGGTCAGTAGGCGCCTGGTAAGTGCCAAGTCAATGTTGGCTAAAGGTGTTTTTCAACAGGAGCTAGAGCTCCAGCATCAGGGCCTGTACCGATGAGAGAAACTGAGGCTCAGCCCCAGACCCAGCAGGGCTGGCAAGATGTTGAGATCAACTGAGCCAACCTAGAGGCCTGGGCATATGGGGAAACTGAGGCCCCAAAGAGCTGCCCCAAAGGCCGTGGCCAGCTGGTTATGTTCCATCTGAAAATGGATCCCAGGCCCCAGGGAGTCTCTGCTCAAGGTCAGCCAACCTTGGCCAGTGGCTGCTTCTGTCTTCTCTCCCCTGGCACCCCCACCACCTCCCTCTGCTCAGCTTGGGCAGAGGCCAGGTTCAGATCCACTCGCAGTGATGCTGGCCTCACACGGACAGACCCACCGACTCTGTAAGAGAAACCAAGAATCTGGGTTCTGATGTGATCTCTCTATTTTGTGTTTCTAAATATTGGCAACTAATCCAACTTTCTTATTTTTCTTTCAACTGCTGAGTGGGGTAGTGCATCTCAGGCCTGGCCAGGAGCTGGCACTCTGCACCCTCTGACTTGAGGGAGCTGGTTCAATAGTGTGG